GTATGGAATAATGTTATGTTTTTAAGGATATCTTCATGAAACTCATCGACTCATTCTCGCTCACTCAACTCAGTCCCCCCCATATCTTCAAAGCCCTTAGCCATATGTCTGCACAGGTATTTAAACTTCGGTGTGGTTCGAAAATAGAGGTCTTTCCTTTTTACTTTTCTTCTTCTTTCTGGGTTCAGTCTCTTGCACGGCGCCTGATGAATGTTGTGATGTGGAGCAGCGGCTGTTTGTTAGATTTACGCGCCACAATTAACGTTCTAATCATCGCAATTTGTAAGCCATACGGCAGATAAACAGCCTACAAGTCTATTTAAATTCTAATGCAGCAGCTGTTGAGCCGATGAATCAGCCCAATAAATTGGAAAATCTCGATAATCAAAGCTGAATCTTGGTATTCCTTTAATATATAGTTCAGGCTTTAACTAAACTATCGATGATTGCAAATTTAATAATGATATTCAACCTATTTCAGCATCTAGAAAAACAGTAATAGCACTCAATGGTTGTACAAATATGTATTGATAAATAAAGCAGCGTACTGATCGTATTATAACTAAAATAACAGAGGTTTCTAAAATTAGGAATTTTCATATATATTAATTATATAATTTAATGCATCCGAAATGATGCACAATAAATTGTCTTAAAATGTCTAATTTTTCTTCTTTTTGTCTTCTTTTATCTTATATGGTGTATCTTATAAAAATTTAAGAGATATATAGAATACATTTCCATATATAAAAAGAAATCATAATTATATGAACTTAAAATAAAGCTCACTTTACGTTAAATATGTAATATTTCTTGAAATTCCTGCTATCCATAAATCAATAAGTTTAAAAAGTATAAAAATAATAATATATATATGTTATATTATTTTTATCCAAATCATAGAAACAGGACATATAAAACATACACATATAAAACACCAAGCATTATCCAAGTTTCAAACCACACAATTTGCAAACACACACATTTCGTTGCTATAAAAGCTTAGCAATGGCAACAACCAGCAATGGCGTGCTATAAAAAGCTCTGCTGCATTTTCTGCGGGTAATTGTTGGTCATTTACTTAGCAGCCTTTTGGGCGCGCTCTGGTCTCAATGCCCCCCTGCGATCCAATAGATACGCACATACGCACACACATACACACACTCAAAACTTGGCGTTGTCATTAATTTTTAAAGTTTTTTCTTTCACATAGTTGCTTCACTAATAAAACTAAACTAAGCGTAATGCTTGGTAGCAAAGGCGCATTACTTATTGTCATCGCTAGGACAAAGGTCCTTGTTGTTTAGCCTTTTAGCGGCATGCGTTCTGCATGTGTGTGTGGGTGTGTGTGTGTGTGGGTGTGTGTGTGTGTGTGTGTGTGTGGGTGTGTGTGTGCTTAACTTTAAATTGTCCAATGTTACGTGCTTCGCATGCGGAGTTCATAAATCCGAGCGCTAACTGTAAACATCAACAGTTGGGAGAACTTGCGACTCGCCGGCCAGCAAGCCAGCAATAATAACAAAAAAAAACAAAAAACAACAACAACAACAAGTTACACTTGCAAAGTTCAAACACAAACGAATGCAGCAGCAGCACAAAAGGGGGGCAAAGTTAGCGCTGCCCTGCTCGCACTCTCTCGCTCGCTCACGCATAGACCATGCGGCCAGCCACTTTCACCGTTATGCTGAAGCTTTTGTTGTTTTTGTTTTCGCAGCTCGTTGCCGTAGTTGTTGTTATTATTGTAACGCTTAATGCGCGACTTTTGCTGGCATGTGTGCGTGGGATAGTGTGCGTGTGTGTTGTTGTTGTTTGGCAGCCAACGCAAATAAAATAAACTTCATTTTGTTTTCAATGGCCGCTTTAAGCTCCTGGAAGCCGTCCCTACGCATGTGTACAGTGGTAATGACCTCAGCCCAACGACCCACCCGCCCACACACATACGCGCACGCACACACATGCACACATCCACAAGGCCTGACCTTCTGGCCAAGAAAAATGAGGAAAAAAATGCTTGTTGCACCAGTTTTCGCCCTGGCTTCTACAGAGCGTCAGGTTATGCTTCCTGCCAGGTGAAAAAAATGCCATTATAGAGGACGCTTTATGCACACAGACACATGCACACACACACACACACACACAACACACGCAGACGCATGCACAACTGCAATGTCGTTATAATCTAAGTAATACATTAATAATATAACGCTATTTTAAATACGTTTCAATCAAACTCTACGTAAGGAAGTATATTTTTGTCAATCGATTGCCACGCCGAAGATGAAATACCCTTGAATACACACAATTTTGTTTTTAGTTCTTTCATAATTAGACCATAAAGAGTTAAAAGAATTATTTAAAAGGGAACATTTACATTTAAGCTATGTTAAAATTTAATGAATTGTAATGAGCACATGTTTGAAAATATCTGAAACATATAAAGTTAAAGTTGTTTAATACATGAATTTAGGGTGCAATAAAACAACAAGAATTAACTTAAAGTTAAAATATAAATTACTTAAATAGTTTGATTTTGTGCATGTCGAACAAGAATTACCTTAAAATATCAATAGTTATTAAACTTTGTGACTGCCTTTGTAACCCACGGACTACTATTAGATGCTATTAGTTACTTTATTGGCGAAATATAGCTTAACATACGCAATTTAACAATTAGTTAAACAAATGTTTTGTATATTAATTGCTTACATATATTAAAATCTGAAGTGTTACAATCAATTCTCTAATTAGAAATATCATTTGAATAGAGATGCTCTTTGCACTGGCATAAATTGTTGAATCATAATCAAGTTATTACAATAATTATCATTTCTAATAGCTACAAGACCATTAACACTTTAGTTATATTAAATGACACTATTTAATCGTTATATTGAAACTTTTCTGAATGACGAATTTAGTTTTGTTTATCAACTTGAAGTTGGGCCCATTGAAGTATAAATGAACACTTATCAAATTACAAATTCTATTTCGCACTTGCAAGCATATCTAGTTATTATATTTAGAACAAAGAGTACCTACTTATGGGAGAGATAATATAAGCACACTTTCTGATTTCTTTAAGAAGTATCTATTTGTGAGCTAACTGACGTCATTTTTATACCGTATGGGACCACTATATCACATTATGAATAGGTTTATTGTATTAAAAACTTTATGCTCATCAAGATTCTTACCCAAACTCGATATTTATAAGTTTCACTATGCTCCCCACATATCTTTAAGATCATGTCAACATGGGATAAACATATCATAAATATAAATATATATATATTAAAATATATAATATATTAGACGGACCTTTATTAATTTTTTTAAACACAAGTAAAAGCATACTATTCGTCCATATGCTTTAAGGTAAATATTGTTGCAAGGCAATTCTATTGAGGCAACAAGGCAACAAATCTATTGAGATAGTTATCAAAACAAAACAAAGGACAAATGCAAGTCACTATTGGCTTTCTCCAAGGAATAGTTGCTCAATAAAATGCTATCGGTTCGATTATTTATGGATCTGTATATTTATGTCGAGCACCGTTGCCTGCCGTGACATTCATTTATTGGCCCTGAACCTATATAGCTGTCGTATTTGTGGGGTAAAAAAAATACAGAAATGAAATCTCTGACTAATTTAGTTATTATTTACAACAAATACACAAACATTGCGACAAATTGGCACACTGCAAACAAAGCTCAACTCAACGGAATGTTGCATATTAACTAAATACAAACAAGGGCAAAGGCAAACATTTAACCCATGCACGACTGCCAAATACCCTCACCGAGCTTGCGTTTACTATTGATTGATTTTTTACAAGTTAAACCAAGTCCAACTTAGGTTTATGGCCAAATAAATTGTGTTTCCTTAAGCAGGTCTTTTCTAGATAACTTTATTGACGAGATGAAGAAAAAGACGAAAGAACAGAAGAGTTTAATTTTGTTTATCGAAATCGAAATTGACTGTATCAATAAATTAATTTAATATTTTTAATTATATTTAAAATATTTTTAATAGATTAAAAGCTGTTATAGATTTCCTGATTTTGAAAAGAATTCTAGATTTCTGACAGAGATCTGAATAAAGTCCAGTTTGTACTTTGTCAAAGCATAGATACTATTCCTCGGGTGCGGGTATAAGAAAAACAAAAACCTGCGACCATTTTCACAGACACTTGACAGGCGCAGGCGTGAGCGAGATAGCGAGAGCGTGACAAGGAAAACAAAAGGACACACGTGTAAATTTCGACACTTGAGTCGAAGTGACGCCGTTGTCTGCTGTTCCTGTCATTGTTGTTGCTGTAGGTTTGTGTTGCGCAAATATAAACAACAAATATTTTACAAACCAAAATGAAATTATTATTAGGAACAATTGTCTAAGGCTTATTGGCTTATTGACGAGGCCATCAGTGGGCCAGATAGCTGCAACTAAATCTTATCGCTCGACAGGAAATTCATTGGCTTTGGCTTATTCAATTAATTAAGTTAAAGAGTCCGGCAAATTATCAGCTCTTTATAATAAATCAAGTGCATGCAGATGATAAGAACAATACAAAATAAAAAAAAATAAAATTAAAAGAAAAAGCAAAAAATGTAGCTTGATTTGTGCTTAGGCAGCGAGCGCATCAGCTGCGTTGATTGGCTTATCAAATGCAGCTGTCCACACAAAAACACACACTAAATAAAAAAAAAGAAGGGAACAACAACAATAGCAACAACAACAGCAACACGAGCGTTGGCAACATGCAAATACCTGTTGTTTCAGTGTTGCCAAGCGCAGCTGTCAACATTTTGCCATGTTGCCAGCAACATGCACGACGAGTGCCCAACGAACGCTTGGCGCTTGCCATTCGTGCGCCAACGAAGCTGCTCGCGGCGGGTGTGATGGGTGTGACGGGGTGACGCCCGCTGCTGCTGCGGCTGGCTGCTGCTGGCTGCTGCTTGCGTAGCTGCTGTTGCTGCTGCTTCTTCAGTACATTTTTGTTACTCGCACGGCGAACAACGCGGCGCGCTTGCGTCTCTACAGCTGCTCTCAGAACTTGGCAAAGTGAATTGAAATTTTGTGATCGTCGCGCAGGTGTGGACGCTCTCTAGCTGTAAATGCAATCAAATTAGGCAATGACAACTATATTATTTCCAAAAAAAAAGAAAGCACAAAAGCAGCCACTAAATTTGAAAATACGTATATAAATAAAAATAAAACAAAATGTATATAAAGTAAAAACCTGATTTCTGTGCCGGCCGCATGCAGATCGCATCGCATCGGCGGGCGAGAGGCTCGTCCGACTGCATTTTTTTGTATCTTTGCACTCTTTGCGTCACGTGCTGCCCCGCCCAGCAGTGCGCCCCGCTGGCGCGCACTTTCAAGGCAAATGCAATTTGCGATCTGTCTCAAAAATAAGACTCGCTCAATTTCAATTTCAATTTCATGAATTTTTCTTCTCTTGATTTAACCGTGTGGCATTCGATTTTTGTTCCTTGTCTTCTCATTTGGGATCTTTTTTAAGTGTTTTGTTTTCCTCCGTTTGTCAATTGAGGCAACAACAGCTGATCATTGGGCATTTAATTGGAAAACACAAAAGTCCATTAGATTTGCTCGTTTCAACTTGTTGTATAAGTAGTCGACGGTGTTGTCGTTCTTGTTGTTGTTGTTATTGAAGTTGTTGTCGTTGAAAGTATCTATTAGCATTTCAGCTTTTAGCTAAGTGATAATTTCTTTGACCCAAAGTCAATGCCGTTTGCTATGCCTCTGTCACACGACTTTTCCACCAACTGAAGTCGCTTTCAAACGAAACGCAACGCAACGCTAAGCATGAACTGACCTCAGACAATATGTTTTTTCTTCTGGTATTCGTTTACAATTAATCGAATATAAACAAAACCCGCTTTCGGAAACTATCAGAGGCTGTGGCAAATGTGCCAATTGGCTGGCATTTATTTATTTATGGAGCACTAAAAGTGCTTAAAGCCAGATAACATAACAACAACTACACACACACACGCACACACGCACATGCAGCCCGCATCAGAACTGTAAAACTGAATCGAAAAAAAAAAACAAAGTAAATAATAATTTGGCACAAAAACCAACTGCAAAGCAAAATCTTTTTTTTTTCTTCTTTTTCTTCTTTTTTTTTTTTTTTTTTTTTTGCATGTTTCTTTTGCATATTCGCACGCCTACGTTATATCGCTTTTCTGCTCGTAGATAGGCTGCAGTCAAGAGTTTTTCAGTGAGGCATATCGACTATGGAATCAAGTTTGGCAATATTTCCGAATTTTTCAAATTTTGAAATTTTCAAAGCTCAAAGTATTCAAATTAAATTAAATGAGAATTACCTTTTTCATTATATTCATTGAGTTCTTAATGACTTAATTGAGGATCTTTAATCAGGTATAAGTATTCTTTGCAGCATTTTAATTGGAATACAATTTATAATATTTGCATATTACAGTTACAACATATCAACATTTGCATACTTAGTATATAGCCCGTATATAATTAACTTGTATAATGCAAATGGCAATGCAACTTTTAATGTGACTTTTACATATTAATGATAAATGTAGCTTAGGGCGTAATTTACACAAGTCTTTAATTATATGTTTATGCCACGGAACTAATAAAATTAAATTTATTCCACCTTACACTTAAACTAACAACATGTATATTTTCTTTTGTTTTTTACTTTTATTTTTATTTTATATATTTTCTCTCAATTTAATTTAAATTCTCATTCAATTAACTCAATTCAATTGTAAGCATTCAATTCAAATCTAATTAATGAATTATTCTTCAATTATTCCCCCAATTTCCGTGTAGTAACTTTTAACTATCTAAGTGCTTAGCGTGTCGGAAGTTAAATTGATTTGAATATAAAACAAATGTAGAGCGCATTGTACTTTGCACCCTTTTACTCTCCGACAAGACCAAATCAAGTTTTCGAATGCTCTCACTTATTCACGTTGTATACAATAAAAAGTAGCCAAAAGATCCACAACAAAAACCAAGTGAAGAACCCAAACAAAAAACATTGTCGCTTTCGGCTTTCGCTTTTCTTAGATTATATTTTCTTTCTTTTTTGTTTGTATATTTATAGAATTTGTTGCTCTTGTTTGAGAATTTTTGTTGAAGTGCGCCGAAAGATCTTAATTTGCAGTGAAATAATTAATAAGGCTCATAAAATGTCACAATTTTCGCGGTATTCATGTTGAAATTTCAAATTAATAATTAATTGATAAAGAATAGAAAATAAAAGCCGAATTCGACATACTCTTACGTTGGCTAACATCAACAAAAATTGGTTAAAAAAAAGGTTGCGTTTAAAAAAAGAAACTATATTTAGACATTATATTATATTTATTTAATATTTTCATATTTAAAAAAATGTATATGTTTATAAAGTATAATTTAAACGGAAGCATGATTAGCAATAATTTGAAAAGTAAAAGATCAGATCGTCAAACAACCAATTAATGGACATTTTTATTGCCTAACACACTTAACATGAAGTCTGAAATACTCTTGGTCAAAGTATAAAATGTCTTGCACTCAATATTTTTGCATTTGAGGCGTATTTGTAGCCATTTGTAGCTTTTGCCAGTTATATCTTTTCTCTTGATTTATCAGTACATTTATTTTATTTTTTCTCGTCTTTCTTTTCAAGTAGTTGTCGGCTGACGTCACACGTGCGAGCTTAGTGCAAATGACGAGAGCAATAACACGGTAAAGCGTGCAAAACAGTGTAAGCTGGAACAAAAACTAAAGAAATAAAGAAAAAAAGAAAAACACAGAGCAGAGATATAGAAAACATAGGCAAATCGCAAAAGAAAAACAAAATGCATCGAAGCTGTTGCTATTTGACGTGGACGACGCTGCTGCTGGCGGGTAAGTGCAAAATATGGCCTGACTCTGGGCAAAACTGCAAACGCATCAGAACATGAATCTGGAACTGATTCTGAGTTTACGTCCGAATCCAAATCCGAATCCGAGCTTGAGTCTCTTATCGGTGCGATCAGGTGAGGCTTGTCAGTCAGTTTAATTGGCAGCTGCGTGACTTCCGCCACACGGGCAATAGATGCACTGGGCAGGGCAAGAGATAGGAAAGTGACGGGGAGGGGGGTGGGGGGCAGCGTATACCAAAAACCGAAAAGTTTAAATTTATGAAATGCCAATTTCACTTACGCCCAACTTTATTACCCCTGACGCACATTTGCAACTTTGTGTTGCAGCTGGCAGAGCTCCATGAAAGAGCGAGTGAGTGTGATAGAGAGGGGAGGGAGACAGACAGCTGACTGTGCACTTGTGTGTGTGTGTGTGAGAGAGTGTGTATGTGTGCGTGAGTGTGAGAGACTCAGTGGCGCCAAGTCTCAGATTGCCTTTTAGCTTTCAAGTTGAGCACTATCCACTGTTTGTTTGCCTGTTTGTTTATTTGTCTCCTTCTGCACCTACCCCTCCCTCCCCGCTCCCCGCACACCCTTCACCAAGTGACTCTCTGTTTCTCGCCCCAACCTTTTGTTACATTTTTGTACTCGAATTTCGCAACTGAAAATGTGCATTGTGCCAAACAGCGTTGCTGATGGCGGTCGTAAGGTCAGAGGAATGCGGCCAGGAGGAGTTCACCAAGTGCGCCGAACCACTTGAAATGCTGCATTTAACGTCGGAATTTTCGATTGGCGCTGCCAAGAAGGACGAATTGGATAAACTTTGTCAGTAAGTTGTAGTTGCCCGAATTGAAACAATAGCATTAACGCCGTCATGTCTGTTATCCATGTCTAATGTCCCAACAACACCATCTACTTGCACTCCCCTCATTCCTCTACCCCGCATTCACAGTGAGCTGCGAAAGGGCGTCCGCTGCATTCAGAGCTATACGCGTCGCTGCATGGATCTGCAGCAGCGGAACCAGTTCAATAAGCTCTACCATGGCACCAACCAGTTCATCCGGGATCTGTGCAACAAGGGCGAGTTCCAGGAGGGTGAGTCCACCAAATAATGCATCCATTTCCAGAGCCGTGTCTAAGTCTTGTGCCACACAGAGTATCTGAAGCATGCGCCCTGCTCGGAGATGGCCAAAAAGGATTTCGAGGTGTGCGCCAATCGCTACAAGGAGACAATGGTCTTTCTCAAGCCCAACAAGAACCAGGAGACTCCAGAGAATGGCACTCTAAACGAGAATATTAAAACCATTTGCTGGTGAGTGCAACACGTGATGCGACTCAGCATATTTGTTTTTGTAATGCTCAGCTCATTTGGCATTCACTTTTTATCAGCTTTACATGATCTAGTCGCTGATAATCCGCCTATAAAAAATAAAACCTGTTTGCCAGCAGCTCACTTGCGTCTTAGTTCAACTTTTTTATGATTTCAATTCATGTTTGTTCTGTTAAGCTTGTTTGATGTGCATAATATCCATTGGACACCATTTTGATGGAGTTTGAATATGAATTGAAAACTAGTTCACCTTGAATCGGTATAAGTAATTTCTTGCAGCTTGATTAAGAACTGTGTGCGCTATACAATTTAATGGCCTACATTTATTTGATGTGCAATGTTACGTGTTCTTTTCTTAATGGTTTCTTATAAGATTTAAACAAAAATATTGAAGTCTCTATAACCTTTCATTACTCAAAGCTAATCAACTATTTGAATATTTCTTAAAGTTGCTAATTGTGTTGGAATACTTCTAGTGTGCTTGAGATGCACAGATAATATCTCATAGATATTTACACGCAGTAGTTGGGTTAAACGTTAAATATATACCTAAGCTTGAGTACAAAAACGATTAAAATAATGCGTAACAGCTGTTTATATTTTAACATTTTAATGTTTCTGCCAAAGATGATAGAAAAAAGCTCTTCTGAAATTCAGATGAACGTAGTTAATTCTTATAATTATTTAATTATTCGTTTAAATTCTTATGTTTCACATCAAACTATTTTCGCACATGAAAGAATAATTGAATTGTTTAATTTCTGTTTTATCATCAATAGTTCTATAAATGAGTTGGTGGATTGCTCGGAAAATGCCGCTCGCAAGATTTGTGGCAACGATGCGGCCAAGTTTACACGAGAGCTGGTCGACAAATACGCAAATAGCTTAACCAAGGTGAGTTTGGATTGCAACAAAAAACAATAATAATCATAAGCTAAATAAGTTCAGTCTCTCAGTCTCGGACTGTAAAAACTTTCAACTAATCAAGAAATCTTTTGCTTGTCTATCTATCTCAGATCTATTGCGAGGACTTCACACGACATCCGCATATATGTCGCGATGGGGAAGGCGATGGGGCTAGCGCGATAAATCGCAACAGTTTCGGGATGCTCGTATCTGTGTTGCTGCTACTGCTGGTCAGATAGATGGACAGGGTTGCCACCAAACACAGTTAAGTTCTGTTTTTCAATCTAGCGGAAAGCCAACAAAATACACACAACCACAGACCCACACACACATAAATATAATTATACAATAGTTAAGGTTTCTAGAACACAATGGTACAGCGTTAAAAGGTGCCAGTCCCCCCTACTTCCTAAAAAACAGAAAGAAAACAACCAAAAACCAATATTTCGGCAATTTCTTATACATGTTATTTGTTGCATAAACTTGCGGGCTTTGTTTAGAGTTGCCAATCACAAAAATGAGTGTGCAAAAGAGTTGTATAAGTGTAGTCTACTTATAAAGTAAATGTAATAGCTAAGCGTATAGTCAGTGTGTACACATACTCTATAATAATATATATATATATATATATATATATGTAACTGTACAGTTGCAGCAGGTTAAGTAAGTTGGAAAGTCTTCATAGGAATATAGGTTAGTGTCTACAAATATGTTGAATGTTTCTTCTAGAGGATAGCAAATGTTGTTGGCAGTTGGCACTCAAAACAATAAGTGCAATAATATGTTAATGGAGCTGTCACAGGTTCTCAAAAGGCAAAAATATATATAGCATATGTATACTATAAATTTAGTTATAATTGATTTGGCTAAGTGTGTTGCCTTCGTATCTAGTTGGAAATCAGCAATTGTGAGTTCAATTCTAATCAAATATTTTAGCTAAAATTTCAGCAGCTGGAATACACACACATACACACACACGCACAATATAAACACGCACAATTTATATATAAAAAGAAAAAAACCCACACACACATATCGGCAATGAATTAAAGTGCATTTCTTAATGAATTTTATAATTATTTCTAAAAAGGGAATAGTTAATTTGCAACTACGTACATTATGTATAACTATTTATTCAAACTTTATAATAAAGTTGAGCACTTATTTAAAGACACCAAAATGTAAATATGCTAAAAATGTAACAAAGTTTATAAAAAGAAAAAAAGGTATAAAAAAAAAACGAAAAGCAAAACGAAAAAAATAAAATAATCAATATATGATAATGGCATACAAATATTACAAGCATTACAAAACAAAATGAACATTAGTGTAACTTAAAAAACTGTGAATATATTATAATTAAAGAGCAACATTTATTTTAAGCAAAAACTATACACAAACACACACACACACGCACACACCAAAAAAAACCCAACACACACACACACAACCACACGCAAAAAGTAAAAACAATAAAATGAAAATAAATTAACAAACCAAGACAAAAAAAAAACTGCACAAAAGCCGTGCCAAAATGCTTTTTACTGCAACGTGTTCCACAAAAAATGGCATGGCCAAGGGAAGGGTGACCGTAGGGTAGGGTAGGGTACACAGCGCATTTTAACCAAACCAAAGTACGCAACGCTCCTGCCGCACAGATATTCGGGCCTGGCGCTCGGAACTATGCCGCGCAAATATGCGAGCACATAAGCCGCGGGGCCCCAGTTGGACCGCCCATAATTTATGTTTATGCGCTCCCCTCATTAGAGCCAGCGGCTGGTGCTGCTGCAGCGGCGCCTCACTTGTCGCCAAGTAGCTAATTTATAGGGTTGCCACGCTGCTCAAGGGCAACTATGCAATCGGCGATCATAATTATCGAGGGGCAAAAGCGAAAGCTTTACGCTTTGACCATTTTGTGCACTAATAAATAATCGATATCTGTTTGCTTATTGGGCGTGGATCTGCTTGATTAAATTCTTGCGAGAAAAAAAAAACACGTTTGCTCTACAATACAGGCTGCGATTGGAAATCATCCCAATCGACTGGCTAGCTGTAGAATTGGAGGAGTCCGAGTGCGAGAAGATTGCGGAGGTCTTATCCAATCGATGTCGCAGATCGGCTAAATCACTTAGATTGGACTTAACTGTAGAATAAGTTGTGTTTGGTTTTTTCATATAAGTTTAATTTAAGTTGTTCTGGTTCCAAGAGAATATAAAGATTGTTATTCTCATAATAGTCGGAGCAGGCGAACTGATCTTTAACGTTTTTACTGGCGTCCGGGCAGGGACAAGTCTTCTTATTTTTCAGAGCTCAGTACACGCTCAGTTTCTTTTCAGTTATTTTCCTAATATCATTATTATTATGATTATTGTTGTTATTTTATTATAATTTGTATTATCATAAAATATAATGGGAACTTAATCTATCAAGAATCAAAAATCAAATTGATTTGCTACAGAGAAAAACCTTCTTTAAGAATTCATATTCTCTGTCAAGCATTGAATCGAATAAAGTAAGGTATTTAAATTAAAAATTTAAACAAAAATTCATGCAAAAAAGTAGGAGTAGTAAATAGCGAAAAATTCCCAGAAAAAACCCTACTAACTTTTTTTTAACAGTTTTACGTATGTATGTAAAGTATGGTATGGTATGGTAAATATCCAGATGACATGAACAAAATGATTTCCTAGTCAAATAGGTTTATTTATAGCTATGGTTAGTCTAGGAGGAACAGAGAAGTCCATATTTCAATATTGAAGTTTATTAAAATCAAATATTTAAAGCAGGCGTCAAAAATGTATAAGCCAAACTTTATTAAAGACCTTGTCAAGAAAGAAAAACTGTTAAAAACGAAAACGAAACATCGTGTTGCTTTTCGCAAATAAATTTCGTTTTAAAATTCGCACAAGTCGCCCTCCACTTTCCGCACAGCAAGCTAAATATTCGGTTTGAAATGCATAAACCATATTGGTTATCAGGCTAAGCCATCAACTCTTTGCGGAACGCAAAATACCTGAGTTACCTCGTATTTATAGTCAAAGCCGAACAAAGACAGCTTTTTGGAGAGCATCAAGAAAGATATTTTCATTAAAACTCAAACAAAGAAAACGCTGATTAATTTCAGCAATCAATTGTAGGAGGATTCGCCCGTATTCCAAGTATCATGCATATGATTGCTAGAACTCAAGCAGCTTCTTTTTAATACGGCAACGGTAAAAGGTGCACGGCATCAGGGGTCAGGGGTCAGCCGAAAATGCATTGCAATGAAAGAAGCTGTGAAGTTGAAGTTGTTTGCAATTTCCAATGCCAAAATTGAGCAAATCAATATGGAACGGTGAGGAGCAGTGACTATTACCTGCTGGCAGGCGAGACTCTGCAACTGTCCTGCAAATGCCTGCGAATGCAGCTCAAATATTTACGTTCCATTTAAAGTGGCCGAAACAACAGCAACAAGAGCAGCAGCAACAACAACCACAAGTTTGTGCTGCTGCTGCTTGACCCACACATACACACACACACACACACACACACAGCACACACTTGTACTTGGAGCCAAGCCATTTTCAACTTCATTTGTTGTGCAAATAGGCGAAATGCATTGCTGAATGCTCGGACAGAATACCTGTGAGTGTGTGTGTGTGTGTGTTCGCCTGTGTGTGTGTGCATTAATTTAAAGTCATATTTTTGACTGGTTCGGTGGCAACTTGAGCTATGCTGGCGCTCATAATGTTGTGCAGTTGGCTGCCCAAAGCAATTTCTGAGTTGCTGTATGCTTGAGGCAAAGCTACTAAGCTACTCGTGGCTGTTGTTGCAGCCACAGCAAATGTTTCCTACACTCACTAATTTTTTTTTCTTTTTTGAGTTTTTGTGGTATGTTTTAATTTATTGAAATATCTTTGTGGTAACGGCAAGCGGTAAGTGCCAAGGCTAGCAGAATGTATGCTGAACTACTTGAATTGCAGCAGCCCGAAAATGTCGACGTTTAATACTCTACAAGGCCAGCTGCCTGCAAGTGCATTATGTCCATTCATGCCATCTATACTGTCTAGATACTCTCTTCACTGTCTGGCAGCTTAAGCCAAGCTTTTTTTAATCCATTTTAAGCGGCAACAGAACGATTACAAATTGGTTCGTTTTTGTTTTTCACATTTCTGCTGCGACTAATCTGCAATTATGTTTTACATAAAAAACGTATCACATGCCGCGCCAAACAACAACAGCAACAAGAACAACAAAAGTTTTTACTTTTTTGGAAAGTTTTGTCGAGTTTGTTAGACTGTTGGACTCTCAACTGGCTGCTTGATTGTTTGCTTGTTGTGATAGTCATGAAAAAGCGAGAGAAAAAAAAAATACAAAATATTAAAACTACCAAAACCAGCTGCAACAGCAGCAGCAGCAACAGCGTCAACTGTCAGTTGCACAGTTGGGCAACGGGGCGTATGTGTGCTTTTTGGTAAGCGAAGCAGTTTCTATTGTTGCCATAACATCGTGTACAAATCAAAGTTAATTAGAGAATGGCACACGATTACAGACGATTGTAGATTGCAGTCGGCAGCAAGTTTGGTCACATGGCAAAACTTGTGCACAAAACTCGCATTGTTTTTGTACAATTGTTGAGCATTTAGAATAGCTTTAACTCTCGTTTAACTAACCACATTACTATCTCTTATTGATGCCATTGTTGTTTACTAAACAATAAAAGCTATTTTAAGCATAGCTGAAAGCTAGAAGAAATTTTAGTTGTCAATGGCACCCTAGCAAGGGTTTTTTTTATTCTGCCACATTCTTGTGCTTAAGGCTAATTATTAATATTAACAACAATGATATCAGTAATATTGCATCAAATCAACATTAGATAAGAGTAACAATATAATTGATTAATAACAACGCTCGGGCAGAAATACCTTTAATATTTTATATAAAACAATTGCGAAAGTTACAGTTCGAATCTGTTTTTTAATTATAGGACAAAATTTGGTGAAAAGCTTACGATAGCCATTTTATATATTTTATGTATTTTTTCAATCAAAGCAGCAAAACTTATTCTTAGAGTTTTTATGGAGCCCGAGCAAGGACTCTTTTCATATTTTTTCTATATTTATTTTATATTTAATTTAACTGTTATTAAATTAATAATTTAAATTTAACCTGTATGAATAAATACTAACAAAACTTATTCCACAGTTAAGTCTAACATAATTCTACGTCTCTTTAGAATATGCCTAGACAGTCGAATTGGATGATTTCCAAGCACACCTAGGTATTTTTCCATACCTAGTAGGGACATTTTATTTCAATTCATTTTATTTTGCAATAAGTTTGCTTTATGTATAACTAATTGGAAACGGATGCTTTAATTGTTGTGCCCCAAATAATTGGAGCAGACAAGCCCAGCTTTGACTTAACGCATTCGATTTTTTTTAACCCAAAAAAGTAAGTGCTCGGGCAATTTCTAACATCGGAATCGAACAAAATGTTTTCCTTTCAATACGGTCTGCTAGGCTTTTAGAGCAATTCATTCGACAGGTATTTTTGCGCTTGTGCCCTACTCACTTGATACAGATCTTTGCCTGCCCCGCTGCTCCGGTCGCAACGCCAACGAACTGTCGTAAAATGTTGGCAACGATCAAAGCGAGCGGCGGACACTTGAAATCATTTGCAGCAGTTGAAAAGCTGAAACTGCCTTCAGTTATGGCACAGTGCGAGAGTCAAAGCCACAGCCGGCAGCAGCAGCAGGAGGCGCCACCGCTTTGGCACTACAGCTTGACACCTCGCCAGGCGACTCGGCAAGTAGCCCGCGGTGCCGGCGAGGCAGCCAACAAGTGTTTAGCATTTTGTTTTCAGTGCAATTAAAACGCGCTGCCACGCTGGCAGCACTCGAGTGTTGCCGTTGTCGTTGCCAGCAAATAAACAAGCAAACAAACAGCCACAAAAGACGCACACAAAGCCAACAGATCCAACAGAAACAACGGCCGCGCAACCCTCTTAAAGTTCCGTCGAGCGGTCTGCTACCCTCACCCTAAAATCTTCCAAGCGGGTAGATTATTCTCTAGAATTTATGGTTTTCTATTTTTTCTTTTAACGAGTGCAATACAGTTTTATATAATATATTAAATTAGTTTGAGGCTGATCGGTTGGTAAACAATTATATGTTCATACTTTCGCTTTCCACCAGCTTTCCACAGCTGCGGGTGGAATTTAACTAACGTTAAAACTTCAGACTAATGGAGCTTACGGCTTAAGATTTAACCTGATTCCACTTTAATTATTTGACTGAGGCTCACAATTCAAGGGCATACAAGTTATTATATTACAAATATAATAGGAAAAATATGTAGACTTTGCCCATTTTTTATAAATTATTGCATAAATTGTTTATGTGTTTATGCTAAAAGTAAATAAGATAGATAAAA